ACGACCTACCGTTCGCGGCCGTCTCGCTAGCTTCACATGTACCGAATTCAGTATTACGTGACAGACTAAAACATCCCAAAAATTCAGCAGAATACTGGTTCAACGTAGACTGTTTCAAGTACGCTTTCTTTCCATTAGCAATAAGGGATTGGAATTCTCTAGGCAACTCAACAACCGGTACCATGAGTTTAACAGAGTTCTTAAGGCTGGTAGAAATGAAAATTGACAAGATGTGACCATAGCTTGTCATCACCGAGCGAATGTCTGTATCAACTCATTTGTGTTCCATCTTATCACTAAATCATAAATCTTTGAAAAGATTTGTAATGAAGAGGTTTTTTTGGAACCTGTAATATAAAATCCTGTACGTTATGTTACTTTTGTAAAATGTATGCGTTCCTTGTTCATTATTATTCAATGAAAAATGTAAAATGCGTACTACACTCTATCAACTGTGTAACCCCACATTTCTTGAAAATCTCTGACATGTACTGTGTCTATGCCCTTCCTGCGAGAATCACGTGAGATTTTGGCAGTATGTTTAAAAAAATGAAATCTCTCTGCACAAGATATGCAGCCTTGTGGCACAGGCAAACCCTAATATTAAAAAAGAACCAGGTCCTTATCGTCACAGTATTTACTATGGTGTTGTCATTACAGCTTCTAAAGAGATGGCTTTGGACTCCTCCCTTTGCCCAGGTGAGCTTCCCGGCGATGCTCTATCTACTTACAAGTGGCTAAAACCAAGCCTCTTCAGAGTAATTTGGATGGAGGGCGCTACACAAAAGTGTAGCATTTATTTTAGCAGTAGATGTGCTCAATATAGATGTTCGATTACAACGTTAATAAAATATATCGCTTATTCCTGCGCTCTAGGACTCGCTATAACACGTGTAGCAAGGCTCAATGAGCGCCACGTCACTGTTTGTACCTTTAGTGCGCATGCCTGGTGGCGGCACTGGTTTTGTATATATACTCGTTCTTGTTCCGGCAATAAAGTTGTTCATTGCCTGAAGCCGACTCGCACACATGGTGGCAGCGATTTCCCGTCACTATGTCGGGTCGGTCAACCCTGCTTCCCCCACCCAAGCCACTGGACCCGTCGACAGACGCATGGCTTGCATGGAAGACATGGAAAAGTGAGTTCACTTTGTTCTCCACCGCTACCCAGTTGAGAAAGCAGCCTAAAGAAGTACAAGCAGCAACGTTACTCGTAACAGTCGGCGAAGAAGGTAGGAAGGCTTACAACACCTTCAAATTCAAAGATGATGCAGACAAAAACAACGTCGAGACGTTGCTCGAAAAGTTTGAGGAATTCTACAAGCCAGTGGCTAACCTGACGTTTAATAAATTCCACTTCGGATCAAGGAACCAAAGGCCAGGGGAGTGTTTCAGTGACTGGCTAACCGATCTCCGGCTTTTAGCGAAGAACTGCGAGTTTGGGGACCTAGAAGACCGTTTGCTTCGCAGCCGGATTATTCTGGGATTGAGAGATAAACGTTTGCAAGAAAAGCTTATCGCCGAGAATCCGTCGTACAGCAGGACCGTCGAAATGTGTCGCGCCCAAGAAATTGCGAAGGAGCAGTTTAAAAAATTAATGAAGGCACAGAAGCAGCAAGCGCCGCAGTTATTTAGGCTGTCAGCACCCAAAAGCATCACTGTAGTCGGTGCGGTTATAGCACGCACGGTAACGCAAGGTGCCCGGCTACAGGAAAAACCTGCAATGATTCCAGTAAACCGGTGACCTTATCGGTGGATGCGAGCCAGCTGGGGGTGGGCGCTGTCCTAATGCAGGATGCGCAGCCCGTCGCATTTTTCGTCACGGAACACTTACGGAAGCGCAGACAAATACGCACAGATAGAGAAGGAACCAATTGCTATTGTACATGGTGCAGCTAAATTCATGACTACATATTCGGACAGCATGCAGTGACTGGGAAAGTACACCACCGTCCCTAGTAGCGATATTCAGTAAGCCTTTGTATCAGTGCCCACTACGGTTACAACGCATGCGCCTTACTCTACAACGTTACCCCATCCATGTGATTTACAAACCGGCAAAGAACTATTCCTAGCTGATGCTTTGTCAAGGTTTTCCGAGCAAAGCATGCATGCCAGACGCCGAGCAGTTTCAGGTCAATGTTCTTCAATGTATTTCAGCCTCTGCACGCGCGCTGCAAGACTTGCTTCAAGCCACCAATGAGGACTCAACCCTGGGTAAGCTCCGCGAATACGCAAGTACAGCATAGGCGCTTCACAAGCAAGACGTCCCCGAGCCACTTCGGACGCACTGGGAGTACCGGGACGAGATACACGAACAGGACGACCTCGTATTCCCGAGTAATAAGGTAATCGTGCCACAATCGAAGACATCAGAAATGATGAGTACTCTTCACTCGGCGCATGTGGGAGTCGAAAAAATGAAGGCTAGGGCAAGGAACGTGATGTTTTGGCCGAATATGGCGGGCAACATCGAGCAGTTCTGCAAAGCTTGCAAAGTATGTCAAAAGCATAAACCTCAGAACCCTAAGATGCCACTTTTGAGTCACGAGGTACCCTCGCTACCATGGCAAGTTGTCGGCATAGATTTGTTCTGTTTCGAAGGCCGAGAGTTCGCCGTCATTGTCGACTTATACTCGTTCTCCTTTGAAACTACGAGAGTTTCGGACGACAACGGCGAGCTCGCTTAAAATTTGGTGTTCAGAAATTTTTTCCGTCCATGGCTTGCCACTAAAGTTGTGCAGTGATAATGGCCCGCCTTTTAGCAGTCATGAGTTCGAGGAGTTTATGGACACTTTGGGCATTGCTCACGTAACCTCAAGCCCCTACCAGCCGTGGTCAAACGGCGTGAGGAAAAAGCGGTCCAGGAGGCAAAAAAGCTTTTAAAAAAGTGCTAATTGAAAATACCCGTGTTTCAAATGGCTTTGCTTGAGTGGCGCAATGCTCCACGTGATGATTTGCTCCAGTCCCCTGTGCAGAGGCTGATGGGACGCCAGACTAGAACTCTGCTACCGGTGCCTACCAGTCATTTGGAACCGAGGACCATCCCACCGAAAGTGTACAGGGCCACCTTCAAGAAATACGGCAACGACAGAGGACCTACTACAACCGCGTAGCAGAACACTACCGCCTGTGAAGCCAGGCCAGCAGGTCACCGTATATGATACAAACCAGCGGACCTGGGCGCCTGCAGTCTTCATCAGACCGTTCGGGGAAACCCGCTCGGCCATCGTTAAAACAGAAGACGGCCGGGAACTTCGGCGCACAAGAGAACATCTCCGCTTGCTAGAACCGCAACCAGAATCAAACCAACCAGAAGCGAGCCTTGTCCCTCCAAACGGGGCGTCCTCAAACGGCCCTACAGAACTATGGCGAAGCACAAGGCAACGATGCGAGCCCTGTCGGTACCCTCTACCTGAGAGGCGCTAACCAGGTGTTAACTGCCCCGTAAAAAGGGAAGATGTAGCAAGGCTCAAGAAGCGCCACGTCACTGTTTGTACCTTTAGTGCGCATGCCTGGCGGCGGCACTAGTTGTGTATATATACTCGTTCTTGTTCCGGCAATAAAGTTGTTCATTGCCTGAAGCCGACTCGCACACAACACGTAAGCTAAATGTTTTGTCGGAGGGGTAGCTGAGCGCTAAAAGTACATTGGTACATCGTGGCGCCAAACCCCAAGACTCAACTACAAAAATAAAAATGGGGCAAAGCACATTCAGCATGCATTCCTAAATGAGGAATAGTAGGTTGCCACTATCTCTCAAGAAGAAGGTAGATAACAGTTGAATCTTACTGGTACTTACCCGTTAAAGGTAAACTTGGAGGATGAGAAGGAGATTCAACTTATTTTGAAGACGAAGCAGCGACAAACGGAAAAGTTAATGATAGGTGTAGCCCTAAGAAACAAGAATAGAGCAGAGTGTATCAAGGAACAAACGGGTGTTAAGGACATCATAGTTGAAATCAACGAAGAGAAATGGTCATGGGCAAGACACGTAACGCAAAGCAAGATAACCGATGGGGTACACAAGAGGTAAAAAAAGCTTTAAAAACTTGAACCATCTCCAGCTAAAACACACTACGTGAAGATGCGAAACAGTGGGCGCTAACGCTTACACTGTGGGCAACATTGACACTGGCGCCTATCAAGCAAAAGCCATGTAAAGACCTTCGAATGATTGCAAACGTGCGATTCAGTACCTACATATACAGGGTGGCAGTGAAAGGTTGTGCCGCAAGAAAAGATGGATTTTTACTAGCACACGCTGCCTGCGTCGGCTGGGAGGCGAGGGAGGGGAATGGGAGTGGCAGTGTAGCGGGTGTCTTCCTGGGCTGGCACGAAACGCGAGCGTACGGTACGAGACGCGATACGCGAGCAGGTGCGATGGGGCTGTAGGGAGGGACAGCGTTACACGGGCTAGTCAAATAGCTCTTCGCATCTAAATTACAGATTCTGGAAAAGAAGCCGGAAGCTAGGAGCTGAAATTCGAGCTCCCTCCTACATTTCTTCTAGAGTCTGTCTTTTTCGAAATTTGCGCTTTATGCACCCAATCAGTGTTAACCAACTCGGCCATGTACTGTGTAGAACATCTCAAGGAAGTTGAACGGTGGTTATGGAGGCTCACAGACTGGAATTCAAACAAGGCATGCGGGTGAAGGGGAGGCACAAGCTTATGTGGGCAGATGAGATTGGGAAGTTTTCGGGTATAAAGGGGCAGCAGCATGCACAGGACCGAACTAACTGGCGGAACATGGCAGATGTCTTTGTCCTGCAGTGGGTGCAGTCAGGCTGGTAATGATGATGTTGTTGTTGATGATGATGATGTAAATACATATGTGAGGGCTTGCACATGCTCTATTGGTGTTTGGCAGCTACTGCACTATATGACGTACATACACCCACGTTGACGCGTATAGTAGCACATCTTTATCATGGTGACTATTGGCCATCATCATATCCATTGTGGATGATGAAGCTCTCAACATTTCCCTGCGCACAGCATTTCGAGAACACTGTGCAAAGATGACATCAACAAGCTTATGAAAAAGTCGATATTACGCAGGAAGGACGTTGCATTGCATGCGGTAGCTGCAACTTTAAATATAATGGAAAGCATGGCAAGCAGCACAAACCATGCAGCATGCTGCTTCAGCTCAAACCACAAATCAGCTGTGACAGCCTAATACTCAATTGTGCTGTTCAAACACTAAGAAGGACGAACAAAATGAACGTAGAAGTATCCACAAAACAAGCGCGAGCAACGAACTGTCAATGCAGTTACTTCTTTATGATTAAGCAGCGCATCTTTCAGCAAAAAGTGGTCGCTGCATCGAGCGAAATCACGTTCGTGTACTTTGCAGATTCTACAGAGTTGAGAAGTACAGCACAAAAAAAAATGCTCAAGAAGCAAAAAATTTTTATCCTAAAATACGTGCAAATATTTCATACTATATTAGAACAATTGAGTTAATGCAACAGGAAGATGCGGAAGAAAACATGATTATTTTGTAGGCCGAACATATTTGTAGTGAGAGAGGAAGACGGGACGGCGGCCAACGTGGTCCTGTCGTTCTCTCGCCACTTTATTTCACGCCCTGAAGCGGAGCCGCGTGGCTTTCCACGTCCGACACACCAAGTGCCTAGCTTGCTCTAATCCACGCGCAGCTCGAGCTAGCATCAGCTGCGCGAGAGGCGTGGCG